GGCTTAAAGCAGCAACAACGCTACACATAAAAACTGATGATGGTGGAAAAATACACCGAAACGTATTTTGATTGATAAATAGAGACAATAAATGCGTGAAACCCAGAATATTTAATATCTTTGATAAATTTAGGTTGCATTTATGTGTTTGCTCTACTTGGATGTCTTTCGGTCCTCACCATATCGCGCCGAAGCTCGCATTAAAAATGATATTAACAGTGTGATGTGACAGAAAAATCCTTGAACCCTCAAATCACTGGTTTTAAAAGAATGGTTGTTATTAATTATAGGACGTCTATCCGATGTTCAGTTGAGGTAAACGGACTTTTGTCCTTGCACCAGCCGAAAATTGCACTCCGCAAACTTTGCATTCGGATTTTTTAGTTTTGCCATTGAAAACGCTATTTAATATTGGCGAAATTAGCGGATTTTCTTTTCACTTATAACCAAACTGTTTATGTTTCCATTTTTTCGTTAGACATTTTGCCTCAAATTTTTCAGAATTTTTCCTTACGTTTTAACTCGTATTAACGACGTGAAGAAATTCTGTTTTTTATACAACAAAGATGTTGAACTAAAATTCCCAGCCAAGAGGTTTATGATTATAGTTTTTTCCTATAGAGGCTCTAGCGATGTCGATTCCACAAAAAGTTGCCTCTTTTGGAAAATTCAATTATTAACTAGAAAATTTTAGTGAACAAATCGTTTCTTTTGGACTTTTTACCTCGATCGAGTCCATAAACACGCAAACAAGTGGCGCACCAGATTTCAAGCCACAGTTCAAAATATTAAAACTTTTATATCAATCAACCGATTTTAATAAATGTTTTTCACTTGATAGTTCCAGCGTACAAATTATTGATTCAGCATTTCCCAATAAAAAGAATGAGGAAAACACCGATGCATGGTGCTCTCCTCATTGAGCTGTTGAAACAACCTGCCCGCTCAACTTGAATCCAAAATTGCCCGAAGTCCCTTAGAAACCATCACTAGGTGGCCTGCTGGAAAGCCAGATATGACGCCTGTTGACCATTTTTGGGATCAATTAGACAGTCGTTCATGCCACGCAGAATAAAAGCTATCTATACGCAGAAATAGGTAAATTTTTATTAGCTATCTAAAAAACTGAACGTGAAAAACACTGGGCATCTAGAGTCTTTATTTGTTGATTGAAAATCTTTTGCTAAACTTTGAAAAACGTATTCAGTTCTTTCGCTTCATGGTTATTGTCTAATTTCCTCCTATTATTTAGTTTATGCATCAGTCTTTCGTGCTTCTTTTAATTTCCTAAAATGTACCTTGCAGAATATATCGCGGTTTTAATCGCCAAAATATTGCAGCAAATGAAAAAATCCGTACGTAAAGGCAAATTTTAATTTGTTGAGTAAACAACAAAACTTTCCCTTGTAAAATTAGATACTCAAAATAAGGAGACCTTATTAAGTTTATTAACGATTGAATGAAAAGCTGTCGTCGCAAGTGAAACCAATAATGAGTTGACACTAATTTCAATTTGCGCCATGAAAATTAGGAGTTTTACTTTGAAAAAAACTTTTCAAATATTTGCTCAAAGTTAATTCCGAAAACTGAAGAAAATGCTGCGGCTCTGTTAGGACGAGATCCAGCGACATCTTAGGAGATGAAAGAAAATATAGAAACAACATTGTGAGGGCGATCAAGGGTTCATCTTGCTCATATTTTCACCATTATCTCATAGACCTGGTCTGAGTTACTCATTTTCTAACAATTTGGCTGCAGGTTTTCCCACCACGAAAATGGCCCACTACCATTCCCGGCACACGCGAAGATTTGCACACTTTTTATTTATTTGTTTATTTAAATCAAATTCATTCCTGGGTTTCAGTCATTTATTGTCTCTATTTATCAATCAAAATACGTTTCGGTGCATTTTTCCACCATCATCAGTTTTTAT